GCCGGCTGGCAGGGGCAGGCACCACCAGGAAAAGAGGGGGAGCATTGCAGAGGAGCCTTTCAGTTATCTTTCCCCTCAACTGTGCTGAGAAGCCAAAAAAGAAGACAAGGAAAAAGTCACATTGAACTTTTTCTGGTTAAAGGCATATATGTATAGCACACCATTGCGATGTATTGCAAATGAAACACCGGCGTGGGGCTTTGTTTCCTATTTGTCAGCTGAGATGCCACTTGTCATCCCACATCCTCACTTTGTACAGCTGTAAAATAGGGGCAAATAAATCTCACTTAAAGTGTTGCTGTCAAGTTTAAGGGCGAGCAAGTGTGTGGCAGTGCCTGGTAGGGAACTTCCCACCTCCGTTCGTTTGTCCCCTATCTTGCGTGGAGACCTACTCGATTTGGTCTCTAATGGAGGGTTCATTTGCCCCTAAATCTCCGAGCTTTAAATAGTGTGGTGACAGAGATGCCACCATCTGCGTGCACAGGTAATTGGAAGCGGCTGCAATCGGCGAGTTTACCCCAGCACGGCCCAACCCAGGGCTTGATGCGCGTCACCCACCGAACCACCCAGAAAATCAGGTCCCCAGGTTCGTTTGGAGGCCGCACCAGGCACTTTTTACTGATCACCAACACACACACCTCCGGGGCCGCCATTCCCGCGCTGCCACGGGCCCAACGCCGACACCGGAGCTCCAAATCCCCAAATGGTCTCTACCTTTGAAAATTTGTTGTATTGACCTTTCTGCTTCTTTGCCTGGGCTCAGGCTCCCTCGCTCGCTCTCCTCCTGGAATACGGGAATGGGTAGGAAGGGTATTTTCCGGAGGAATACTGATGGAGAGGGAGCAAGAAGAGAAGAAAAAGGAGAGAGGAGGAAGAGCCCTTCTGGAGTTGCCAAGCGGTAGGGTAGAGCCAACTCTGGGTCTTTCAGTCCATTTTGGGTAAATTCATTGCAGTGACCAAACTGGCCTGGTTGCAACATCATGTGTTCATAAAATGTTCTTCCACGCCTCGGTTTTCTGCAGCCCTTCTTGCTGGAACCCCCTTCACTATGTAAAAGTGAAAAAAGATAAACCGAGAAGTGAATCTAACTTCTTACCAGGTTGTTCGAAAGGAGGGCAACCTGTTCAGTATGGATGGCGGAGTCCTCATGATATATTTGTCGTGCATTTGTGAAGTTTTTTCTCCCCCCCCCTCTAGGAAATTCTCAATTATGGAGCATACAAGTCCAGTTTCCCTAAGAAAAATGCCACAGTTGAAATTTGGAGTAGGTGTTTGTGGAGTTGGATATTAAAAAAATTATTTCACAAAGAATTTTGAGCTAAATAGTCGGCATAATTCTGAGTTGGGGGGCAAATTCATTTATTTCTACTCCGACGAATAAAAGGGAAACGTTCCAGCTAAAACAAACAAATTGGAAAATACACGTCCAAAGAGAGGCTTACGAGGACTGCCACTTATTTCATTTACAAAACGCAGACTGGCTGTCCCCGGGGATCGAATTCCCCCGGTACTAGCCAGGCTCTGTTCTTCGGGTTGCGTAGACTCAGGCGCCGCACTGTGTACGTCTGGGGGGTGGGGTGAAGGTCAGGTTGTAAGGGGCGGGCGTTCTCACACCTGATTTCACCCCAGGGCCCTGCTGGACGAGAACAAGGCCAGGAGAGTAATTGTCTAAGAAAAATTTCCGAACCTCTGACCCAGAGCAGAGACGCGGCGCCCAGGAGACTGGACTGAACGAGGTTGGGGAAAGGGGCCTTAAAACCAATCGGGAGGAAATTGAACCCTGAGGTGCAGATGTGAAACATAAACGAGGAAAGAACCCCGGGAGTTACCTGGGAAGAGTGAACAAAGGAGGGGCCAGGGTAAAAGACGGAATGCTACCACCCCACCCCGGTTTTGTGCAAATAAATTGTCGTGAAGAATTTTAATCATGTTCGCCTTGGATTTTTCTCGACACCGGCTAGCGGCGGGACGGAGCTCAAGGGCGGGAGCGCAGGAGGCGCGCGCCGGCTCGGCACCCCCGCCGGGCCGGGCTTCCCAAGGCAGCAGCTGCGCAGGTCGGGCCCCCTCGCGGCTCAGGGCAGGTTTTGTGTGGCGCGTTCAAAAAGGAGGTTTGTTCCGGGGTAGCCGGAGGCGATAGCGATGGGAGCGACCCTCCAGGCGCAGCCGCAGCCTCCCACTCCAGCACTAACCAACTCTCCTTCGGCGCGGGTGGCCGATTCTGAGCCCACCCCTCCCCAAACCCTACACAAACCTAATTAAACCCAACTCAGTTGGCAGAAACGCTCCCTGCTCCCCGAAGGCCGAAGCGCCGCCTTGCTGGGCCCAAGGCTGCTTTCCACTCTCCCTGTCCGCTCCGCCCTCCTTCCCGCACAAGCCCGGAACTTCGTCCCAGCCAAGAGGGAATTTAGGCGCCCGCGGCTCGCAGCCCACGTGGCCCCCAGCAGCGCGGCGGCCGTTTGTCCCCAGCGCCCTGCATGGCCGCGGGGAGGACGCCCCTAACGCAGCGGGCGAGGAGCGATGCGGCTGCCCCATCCCCCAGGTCAAAGTTTCGGGGCCAAGGCTTCCCCAAACTACCTTCCACCCGGGCACCTCGGTCCCTGAACTTGCCTCTGGGAGGTGCGGGTGGGGGCGCCCGCCGTGCGCGGCCGTCTGGTTTGGGGCAGGCATCAGGAAACCCGGAGAAAGGACCAATTCATTCGCTTCCTGAGGGGCATAATTTTGGTGGCAGCTGTTGAGGGCGAGAAGAGCCAGCGTCCTCGACCCCGGCTCTGCCCTTTAACCCCAGCCAACCGGGGCCTGAGGGGCAGACGGTCCGGGCCAGACCTGAACCCACTGCTGCCCCGCGGCCCCTTGGGCTGTTCTCGGTTCCTCTTCTGGCCAGCGTCGCGGTGCAGCAAATCAGAGGTCCCTTGAAAAAAACGTTGCGGGGGCTCATCAGCACATCTTTGAGGGACTCACGGGCTGTTCCACACTCTCTTCCAAGGAGCCCGAGGCATTGCCTTTACTGGGCGCAGCCTGCGGACGAGGATGAGAGTGCGTGGTCACTTGAGGTTCAGAGAGATTATAAAGAGAATGAGTGAGGGTAGAAGACTCGGACGCTTAGTTTTTGTAGAGACCGAAAATATTCGTAAAACGTGCATTTAATAGATAATTGCCGAGTTGAAACACAGTAGTTTCATCCCTACAGATTCTCTCCAGCCTTCCTTTCTTTGGACAACTTCTATCTCAGTCGGCTTTTACCGCAGTCGCGGTCCATATTCTGATGCCCAATCGCCTTTCATTGCTCCCCAGCCTCTCTTGTCCGATAATGAGAACCTAGCCAGAGACCTGAGGTAGGGGTGCCACAATCACTCAGAGGCAGGGGATTTCAGTTCTCTGTCCCCCCTTTAAGTCAACTACCCCAAACCCTGGCCCCCGGGTTTGTGCAGAGAGGGTCCGCGCACCCCCTCTCTTCCCATAGGTTTTCAAGCGAAATCTTCACAGTAGAGACCTGCGCTTCCCGAGCGCTATCCACCCGCGTTGTCTGGGGTCGCGCGGTTTGCCCTTGGGGTAGAGTGGAGGCGCAGACCAGTCCCTTTCTCTGGGGAGCGGCATTTTCTGAAAGGGCGAGCTTCCTGTCCGCCCAGGCAAACGAGTTGCCAGGCGCTGTGTCCTCTAGCGGCAAACCCTCGCAGTTCATTTGTGAACGCTCACCTACACCTAAGGGATCTGGTCGGGAGTCAATTCGCGCTTGAATTGGAGTCGCGAGTGCGGAAAGAGTCCTGAATGTAACCCAGGCTTTCGCCAGGGCCCTTTCGGTAATGAGGCCGGGAGGCTCCGGCGCTGTCGCCCGAACTGCGGAACAGCTGATTTGTCTCTTCCACGGCAGATGGTCTTTGAGCACAGATTTGCATTCATTGTCTTCAAATCTGTTTTCGCGCTGGTGTTCTAGATTTCAGCAGCAGATCTATGCACAGATCAGAATACAAAAGGAGAAGCAAGAAAATAACACCCAGCCAGGAGGATTTTTAATAGGCACCGCGAGCTGCCCTGCGTAGTTAAAAAGCCGTCTAGGGTTTCAGCTGTTTGGCGGAGCTGCCGCCGCCTCCCGGCCACCAGCCTGCGGTCAACACCTCGGCGACTGCGCGCCCTGGGCAAAGTTTCCGCAACTCCCCCGCTGCCTCCCTGCAGCTCCTCTGCGGGCTCCCGGGGGCTCCGGGAACTGGGTGGGGAGGGTGGAGGGGGCTCCCGGGACAACGCGAGGTAGCTCTTGCACTCAGCCTGTCACGATCTGTCAGCAACCTCTTATCCGCCCAGGTGGGGCTCTCGCACGCATCCGCCCGGGGGTATTTTCCTTAGCTCCTTGACCGTGTTTCCCGACACTATTTATTTGAATAGCACTTGAGCCTTGCTCTTCCCCACCCCACGTCCCGCTTTCATTCATATATCCTCCTCTCTCAACAACTTGTAAATCGCACACAAAATCTAAGTGTCACCAGTGTCACCATGTTACTCCAGCAGACTTGGGAGAGACGTTCGGGGACCTGGGTTGCTCTGGGGAACGTTTGCACAAAACATAGGTACATGTGGTCACACTCTCCGCTTCTTCGCAAACACGCACACAGCTCCAAGCCCCGGGAATGACTATGCCTTCCAGCAGACTACAAAAACCCGCATCTAGAGGCAGGATCCACCAAGGCTTCCCACTCCCATATCTGGACTGAGCGGGTGCGTCCCAGGCGGCTGAGCCCTGCTACCCCGCTTCAGTACTGGATTTGGGGACCCCCATCCCACGCACGCACACCGAGGACGCAGCGTCCACATCTTGCTGTCCCCTTTCACCTCCCCGACTCCCGGCAACGCCGAGCGTGGCGCGCGCCGCCGGAGGACGTCGGCCCGGCCTGCCCAGGGCCGGCCAATCCCGAGCGTCCATGCAAATGAGGCTCCTTATCGGGGCGCGGCTCCGCCTCCCGCGGCCGGGGCGGTAGTAACCCATTCATGGGGCTCGCGAGCGGCCGCAGCCCGGCTCCGTGGTGCTCGCAGCCACCGCCTCCTCTCGGCTCCGGGTCTTCCCCTTCCTTTTACAACTGATCCTGTTGGGGATTTTTTTTTTTCTAAATTGGAGCGGTGGGGAGGAGAAGGGAGGGGGGGAACAGGAGGAAGGAGAGAGATTAGGCAGCCATCAATCTCCTCCTGTTTCTCCCAGAACAGGTGATGCTTCTAAATTGTGATCACTTTCTGGAGGCAGAACTGCCGCTGCAAGGATGCGAGCGACTTAGGACAGAGGGCCTGAGGCGGCAGATCTGAACTTGCGGAGGAGAAAACCCAAACTTTAACTACATCAGTCCGCACCTCACGCGTGAAGCAAAGTACTGGTTATCTTTTTTTTTTCTTTTCCAAGAGAGACTCAAACTTCAGCACTTGATCCCTGTTTTTTTGGATTGCTTTGGAGGAAACGGTTTGGTGACAGCGTTGGGAACAGTAACGACAGTGTTGTAACTCTTATTTTTAAAGAGACAGTAGATCAGATTTTTTAAATGTTTGGGATTCAAGATACTTTAGGAAGAGGACCAGCTCTGAAAGAGAAATCGCTGGGCGCCGAGATGGATTCGGTCAGGTCCTGGGTCCGGAATGTCGGCGTGGTGGACGCCAATGTCGCGGCGCAGAGGTAACCAGACGGCCGCACAATTACTATGCTCTCAAAGTCTCTAGCTCGTTCGCTCTCTCGCGCTCTCCGCCTCTGTGTGCCCCCCACCCCGCTCGCTCTCTCTCTTTCTCTCTCTCCCCCCATCTGTCGCCCTGGCCCCGCGCGTTGGGGCTCGCCCTCCGCCAGGCAGGTCACTATAGTCAGGGGAACACTTACCCCGCAGCCAACACTCGAGTTTCTCAACTGCCTGGGTCGTTGCGTTTCTCCCCACTCCTTCCCCCCACAGACCACTCTTTTGGGAGGAAAAATAACAAAGTAGCATCCAACGCCTCTCAGCTCAGCTCCTAGTCCTGCGAGGCGGGCTCCGCCCGGAGCCGAGCGTGAGGACCGGAGCTGGCAGCGGCGGCCATCGGAGGAGAGCCGGCTTCCCGGCGGCTCCCAGGTTCCGCCACGCCGCTGGCGAGAGCCTCTCCTGCCGCATCTTGCCGGGCGATTCCTGGAGGCCCCGGAGATGGCGGCGGCGGCGGCGGCGAGAGGAGCGGGAGAGGCCGGAGCGGCTGCCTGGGAAGGCAAAGCGGCCCGGAGCTCTGGGAGGGGGCAGGCTGGAGGGTCCGCTCGCAGAGATAAAACAGTGGGCCAGACGCATGGAGGCGGGGTGAGGGGAGAGAAGATATTAAAGAGAAAAGACGGAGTAACTGGTAGAAGGAAGGAGCCGCAGAAGAAGAAAGGCGAGGCGAGGAGACAGCCGCAAACGCAAGGATCACCAGCTCCCAGTTTTGCTAGTCCCTGAAGTTGACTGTTTCTAAGCGTCCGCGTGCTGAGATGGTCAACGCCTTGTCCAGGGTGCCACCCTGCGAAGACATCCTGGTCCCCCTCCCTCATCACCATTGCTGAGCTGGGATTTGTGGTCTCCACGACCTGGTCTGCAAGAGAAAGCCCTCTTACCCCACCAAAGAACCCACGAACTTCTTCCCACGACTCCCGCCTGTCTATCTGCTCTCCTGGTCATCCCTCTCTAAAAGTCCCAACATCACGCCATGAAACTCCTCCTTTCCTAGCAGGCCACTTCTCCAGGTGTCCCGGGTAAAGCGAACCAGCCGCCACCCTTAGAGGAGAGGAAGCAAAAAGTCGCATCGCTCCGGAGACCAGGGCGGGCGGCGGGTCCCTACCTCCGGCCCGGTCCCTACCTCCTGCCCGAGCCGGGACGCGCCCGCATCCCTCGGACAGATGGCACACCGCGGCGGTGTCTTTTCGCAGCCGTCTGGGGCTCGCTGGGCTGCAGGCGGAGGGAAATCAGGCAGTTCCACAGAGCCTGCTCTGCGGCGCATTTCCTTAGCCGAGCTACTTAAAGACACCTTCCCTACTTTCCTTTTTTCCCTGGATCAAATACCTATTAAAGCTGGAACAGGCAGCTCGGGTAGGGGATTCTAGCAAAATTTTACACACTTCAAGAGTGAAAAGTGCTTGCGCCCTGGGGCACAAGGCCCAGAGATCGCAGCGCCGCGGGGCAGCTCCGGCCATCTGCGCGCTCGCCTGGGCCCCGAGTCTCCTGTTAAAAGTGATCTGGCGGCCAGTTTGCCCACAGCCGCGACAGGCCGGGAGGAAGGTGTGTGCACTCCATATTCTCAAGGGGGACCTCCTGGGTCCTCTAACATGGGTTTCTTAGTCAGCGGGTTTGGCTGGGGCCACCCAGAGATGCGGCGCGAATGGGGATCCCCTTCGGCCCCAAGCGAGGACGTTTCCTCTTAATAAAATTTTGGTTTCTCCAAGCTCAGCAATTCTGGGGGCAGAGCCTCAGTATCACATCGTTCGGGGTGGCCTGTGATCCCTAGTACTTGGTGGCGGGGATTCCACCCTGCCCCTGTCCCGGGCACAACTTTTCGAAAGAACGAGGGAAACACGAGGTGAGGCCTGTCCTTGTCGGACTGAGGCTTGGGCTCTGGGCTTCCAGCCCGCCTCCAGGGTTTTCTCGCCTACCGCCTTTCCGAGATAGCATGGGGGGCGTTGTGGGCAGTTGCACCCGGACAGTTAACTCCAATGAAGATGAAGGAAAAGGGTCACGTCTTCGAAAGTAAGGAGGCGTTTATTCCCCAGCTCCAATTCCCGACCCGGTCGGAGGCCACCTGATAGAACAGATAAGGGCAGCCCGACAGGACAAGACCTGGGTTGCCGCCTTGGGGGACTGCTCCGGGCCTCAGTCCGAAGCCGGGATCCTTTGGCCGCGAATTAAGGCCAGACATTGAGCTGCTGGGCCCTGGGATGCCGGAGGCTGGAACGGGCAGTTGTGGAAGCGGCAGGGGGTATCGGTCCCGTCACCCGACCCCCGTGGCTACTGGGAGTCCTCTAAGGAGTCCCCTCTTCTTAATCTAAATTGAAAAAAGGTCCGAGGGGCCAGAACTCTTGACCCAGGACATGGACCCTTGACCTCTGCAGTGTTGTGTAGGCACATTGGTAACACAGTGTCTTTCTCTCCTTCCCCGTGTCCGGTGTCCCCGTGTCTCTTCCTGCGCAGCGGAGTCGCCCTGTCCCGTGCTCACTTTGAGAAGCAGCCTCCTTCCAACTTGAGGAAATCCAACTTCTTTCACTTCGTCCTGGCGCTTTACGACAGGCAGGGGCAGCCGGTGGAGATTGAGCGCACAGCCTTCGTGGACTTTGTGGAGAACGACAAAGTAAGCGGAGGCCCCCCTCTGCCCCTCCCGGCCTAATAACTACCTCCTTGAAAAGCACTAGAGATGTCCATCTGTCACTCACGACACTTTTCCGTTCACATTATCAGGGATGATAAATCGAGGCTTCTCACTCTCAGCCCCTAAATCAGTCGATTTCCCTGCACCTCCTCCTGCCCCCCACTCCGCACCATGCGCTTCCTCGGGCGCTGGTGACTGCGCACCCAGCCCAGGGGTCATTAGCAGGACCTGGTCAGGGACTGATTGCGCAGCAAACGCCCTTCCAACTGAAGCGTAGTGTAAAGGTACACCCAAGGCAGCTGCGGCCCTTTTTCATGTTATTTGTTTGTTTGTTGTTTTGCACCTGCTGGCACCCACAGAGTGGGTAGGTACCAGGTAGAAACCCAGAGCCTAGCCTTGGCTGGTTTTCCCCGCCAAACCCTATCCTCCCACTCTCGCTCCCCAAGGAAGCACCACTCCCAACCCAGACCTGCGTGTGAGGCTGCATTTGATCGCAAAGGAAGCCGATATGTGCGGATAGAAAAGCCTCTTGCCCTCCCTGGGCCTCAGTCTCCTCTACTGTACAACGCGAGCTTTACAGCAGGCGCTCCAGAGGTCCCTCTTGAACCTGGGCCTCAGTCCCTGCAGCTGCTAGCCCCGGAGGCACCGGTCCTGGTGGGATAGGGCCCAGTGCTGCCCTTCTATATGACAGGTCCCTTTACCTTTCTGCCAAGAGGAGCCTTGTGGCTACCAAAAGATGGACAGAGCCTGGTGGGTTTGGTGGGGACTGTTTAAAGGCAGCCTTGGTGCAGTGTCTGGTGGTTGCGACTTGGGGTGTGTGTGTGTGTGTGTGTCCGTACTTCTGAGGACATTTTTAAGGGAGAGAGACAGAGGATTGGAGAGGGTCAAGTGGCCACGAGCCTTGGCAAGGTTTGGAGGTGGTCCTTTGGCAGAAGCTCCTGCCCTTTGACCTGGGGCTGGGCAGGGGGTTGTTCAAAGCTACCGGGCGAAGGGGGAGAAAGGCAACTAGAGAAGCGTAGGGACGTGCTGTCTTCTCTTTCCCTCGTTTGGGGGGCCGGAAAACAAGGGATTCAAACCCACCTGTTTTTTCAGGAACAAGGCAACGAGAAGACCAACAACGGCACCCACTACAAGTTACAGCTCCTCTACAGCAACGGTGAGCGGCCTGCTTCCTCTGTGTTAAGGCATCCGCATGTGTCCCTTTTAAGGAAAGCAGTTGACTTTGTCCAGGTCACTTGCAGGCAGCCTCAGGCCTAGGGAGAGGAGGGCTTTGGGAGGCCCAGACAGGGCCTGAGGCATGGGTGGGTGTTCTTTGCCCCTAGGATAGTTCAGCCTGCGGCAGACCCACAGCCCCTGGTGGCTGCCTGGGCCTGGTGGCATGCCTGGGACAGGTTGGGGGCCGGGTGGGGCTCTGCGGCCCTCATCCCATGCCTGTCCCCTCCCCTGCAGGCGTCCGCACGGAGCAGGACCTGTACGTCAGGCTCATTGACTCGGTCACCAAGCAGGTGAGCCCTGCGGTCTACTCCTTCCCTTCTCCGGGGGCCTCCCACCCCCACTTGTCCCTGACCTACCCCACCTTCCATAAATTCCTGGGTCAGACTGCACATGTCCCTTCGTATCAACTCGCACCTTGACCACTCTGGGGAAAAAATAAATGGCCCCCTCTCTTTCCAATTGTTTTGTTTCTTTCTGGCTGGGGAGATGCTGGGGGTGAGGGGAGGCGAACAAAGAGGTGAAAAGAGGAAGCAATTATTGGGAGATTCAGTTTCCCCAAACATTGCCTTTTGCAAAAACTATGTCCTCACGGGGCAAACTTGTCTATTATTATTTCGCTTGAGTTAGTTAGCCAGGCCACAGCTCGGGCTCTGTGCTGCCAGCGGGCACTCCTAATGAAGTAGTGGGCAGTGAGAGGAAAACTGACTCTGTGCTTGTTTTAAAGCCCCTTTTCTTTTTCTCCGCCACCCCCTCCCACGCCTCTCACTTCTTCCCTTCCGGCCCTCGCATCCTTCGCAGCCCATAGCTTACGAGGGACAAAATAAGAATCCGGAAATGTGCCGAGTTCTCCTGACACACGAAGTCATGTGCAGGTAAGAGCCGCTTTGTCCTGCGGGCTTCGCTGGCAAGCGGGGCAGGAAAGCGGGGGCCCGCCGCTCACGGGAGTCGAGCCGGGGCACAGATTTGCAGGAGTGACGGCTCGCAGGGCGGGAGGTTGATTCACTAGAATTCCTACTTACTGGCCAGGTTCTTAGAGCATTTAGAAAAGATAAACCAGAACGACGCAGGATTCCGTCCCCAGGCATCTCAGGAGTTTCCTCCCGGTGTGGACAGTCTCTGCTCACCAGCAGTAGGTGGCAGCGCCGGGAGGCGCGGGGTAGCCCCTGGCCAAATTTGGGATTGGGACTTTTCCCTGGATGGATCTTCGCCGCAGGCCTGTCCTTAAGGCTCAGTTCCTGCCTGTCCGGCCGCGCTCCATGTAGATTTCCAGGAGGGGCCACTTGTGGCATTACCGAAGCAAAGCACTGGAACGAGGGGAAGCCTGGGCGAGGGACCACCGGAGGGTCCAGCAGCCCATTTGGCAGGGCGGCCCCCTCCAGACAGCTGAGGCACCTGTGATGCAGAAGCATTTGCTTCCTATAGGGTTGTTGCTTCTCTGGTGATTTCTTGAGTCAGGGGAGTTTCTTAGGTCAGGAGGAACTACAGGAGAGAAAGATAAGTGGGGTTACCCACTAGTGGGTGGATGGGGCAAGAGTGGGTCCCATCTAGGAGATCTGGGGTCTGGAGCAACAGCTGGATTCTGATGGCCAAGTCGTGAGAGGTACAGTCTACTCGAATTCCTGCACCTTTTTCCATCTTTCCAGAGAGCAATCCATTCCATTTTGAGTCTTTTCTTCTGCCTGACTAGAAGAAAATAAAAAATTAGAAGAAATTCATCCACATACGTATTCTTTCAGCAGACATTTATCAAGTGCCTACTATGTGCCATGTATTGGGAAATCCCACGGCAACCCAGAAAGGATATAAAAAGGCAACTCTGGGAAGAGGTGGTGATTTTACTATGAAAATGTCAATGTTTATTCCATACACGATGTTTTCTGCCTCCAAAATCTCTGATGGAAGAGAAAGCCTCTGTTCTTCCTCACGCCACTATTGCTTCAGTGAATGTCTTCCAACTCCAAACTCGCTAGTTTTGTATAATTGCTGGCCGGCCGATGTAGTTTGGACTGTTTCATGGTCAGCTCCTGGCAGCACCATTTCCCTCCCAACCCAGTCAGGAAGAAACATAACAATCAGACATGTTTGTTTTGGTGTTGACCAAGTATTAGAAAAACAAACTTTGCCAAATGCAAGGTTCAACTCTGCCAGTGGCCTCAGCTGAGGGGGTCCAGGACTTCCTTGCCTGAGTAGCTGGGTGAGGCATTGGGCGATGGAGTAAGCACAGAACTACTTCATTATCTCGATAGATTCGTTCAGAAAGTAAATACAATTCCAAGATGAACTTGCATGGAATATCTAGATTAAACAGTCAAAACACTGATTCAGTTGGCTAAATGGAGGGTGCTTTTAAAAAAAATTCCTATTTATAGTTTTAAATGTCATTGTTTGGATAGATTATCTTAAAAGAAAAGAAAAGAAAACCCCAAACTAGCCTATTGTCTGAGGAATTATATGTTATCACTTTAAATAATACTTGCACGACCGACCCATCCAGCTGTAGTTAAAGCTGACATTTTTATTTTTAAGCCCAATCAAATCCTCCTCATTTTATGCTGTTTAAGTAGCAGCATCAATTTTTAAAGCCTCTAGTTTAGTCTGCATTAGCAACACAATATAAAAATTTAATGTACTGTAACTTCTTTGCATTTGAGACCTGGGAAGAGATGCTCTGCTATTTTCTTCCCAAACTCGAATTTAAAACAAATATTAATTATGGGTAAATGAATGATCCGTTGGATGGGTACTGTGTCTGGTGCGTGTGTGTGTGTGTGTGTGTGTGTGTGTGTGTGTTTGTGTGTGTGTGTGTGTGTATTTTGGGAGATGAACTGGGGTAATGGCAAATATTGGATGCATCTACAAGGGAAGTTCTCTTTCAGTGTGTCAGTCTGAGCTGGTTGATTTTCCAGTAAGGGGAAAAAGTTTCTTCACCCACGTTTTAGGAGCCAGTTATAGCAGTCAATGATTGAGGGATGAATCAGATGCCCTGTTTCTCGGTGGTTATTGCACACATTTACTTTCATTTGCATGGTGTTCTAGGGCATACCTGGAAAATTTCCCTGACTGGTTTTATGTTCTGTGATCTTCAGTCAGAAAGCTCGTAAATTGGTGTTTAGCTTTGAGGAGGGGAATAAAATCCATCTCTTCGCAAATAACTTTTTGTCCTTCCTCCAACTGTCTTTGCTCCCCTCTTCCCTGCTTTAGTTCATTTTGCCAATTATTAGCAAGGAGAAATCTAGTTGTTATGTCGCTGCCAGCCACCCCTGTGCCCTCAATGCTCAGAGGGTTAAAAGATATTATAATTTGAACAGAAGTCGTCTCAAGGCCTACAGCTGGCTAATAACAGAGTTGTATTGAGCGCGAGCAAACCCCACAGCTGTGACTTTTCGCCACAAGGCGCAGGCTAGACAGAGCCCTAATCAGATGGGCCAGCCGGGCAGTGGGGCCAGAGTCTTTATCGGCCAGATGGTGTGAATTTAGACACTTTTGTTATGCAATCGCAGGGAGGAGTTGGGGAGAAGAAAACAAAACAAAAGCCACCATGCTGTGCGCTTATTTGAGTTTGAAATTAGAGACAGATTTTTGAAAGTTGAGGGTTGAATTTTAAAAACGATTTTGGAGGGGAAAGGGCACACTCGCTTTTCTTGAGCCGTTTGGCTGACTGGACACCCTGTGTCCATGGCTGGGGCTTTTTTCCTTCTCCAGCCATTCCTTTCCCACCTTATTTTGCCCTTTCTGCAAAATGCAGGCAAGATTCAGGATTAGGATAAAATTTCTCATATTTCCTCCCCACCCCCCATCCCCAATTTGTTTTCTCTTTTTCTCTCTCTGAAGACTCCATAAAGAGATAGGGAGGATGAAAGAGGCCTGTAAGCAAATTGAGAATTTTTCAGGTAAAATGTTCTCCAAATAAGTACCAGAATAAATTAAACCAAACTGAGCCAACAAACCCGGGAGCAGAGGAAGAGGCTTCATTTTCATTCATTAGGAAAAAGAGGCACTTCTGAGCCTCTCTGTGGTAGTTAGAGACACCATCTTAACCTAGTGCCAAGTTCAGTTTCCTCTTCTCTTTGTTTAATTTTTTCCCCTTCTTTTCCTTTTTTATAGTCTCGTTCAGTTTTAAAAAACACTTCTCAGGAACATCAGACTTAAGAGACTTGCTTGTTAGGAAATAACCCTAAAAAGCCTTTTAAATAAAGTAGCCGAGCCTGAAGTTGGTCACTCAGCCTTTATCCATCCAGCAAAGGGACGGGAGGACTGAGTTTGTTATCTGAGTAATTCAGGGTCCAGTTCCTTAACATCCACATACCTGATCCCAAAGCGACTGTCTGGGGAATGTGGGTTCATGAATATCTTCCACTCCCTACTTTCCTTTGCTTATGTTAATATTGCTGGCGCAAGGACTGAATGTCATTTAAGAAACCCAATAAAGAATAACTAGGACATCTTGATGAGACCTTTTCTTTTAAGAAAAGAAGAAAAAAAAAGAATTAGTTTTGGCTAACCCAGAGAAATTTTAAGAAGGGCTCAAATGGGGTAAATACAACCCACTCCTATTATTTTTATGCGTTTACTATTAGAGTGCAACAGCTGAGTATCTTCCACATCTTTTCTGTGCTATTAAAATGAGAGATTATCCTTGAAGATGTTACTGTTGGAGAATGGAAGATTGGGTCTTGAAGTTTCTCTGCATTTTCTTTGAATATCATTTCCTTCCCCGAGTCCATTCCCCACATTGTATTACACTGGCACCAAGCTTACATTTTTATCTGTTTTTCTTTTCCTCCAGAGAAAATCCCCATGGAAAGCAGCTGAATTCAGCTGAACAATTTTGCAAACTTACTCGGCTTCCTCAGAGTCATTCCTTCTCAAACTAAACAGATTGGAACATGCTGACAGTTTGTGCTCTTGGAATTAAATTGTGCCCAGCATCAAACACAAACAAACATGCTTGTGATGTCAAAGGGGAGTCTAGGTGGAGGGCTTTAGGTAACTAGCACGTGTGGGGCTTTTGAAAGCATGTTGCTAAGAAAAATGGTTTGCCTGAGCTGCAAAGGTATTACCTTGACATAAGCAACAGAGAAAGAAGTGGGAGATTGCAATGGGTGGAGGGTAGGAGCTGGGAAGAAAGACAGGGCTTTGGGAGATCGGAGAGCAGCTGGCCAGCATTTTTATTGGTGTTAATCTTGGGATGGACTGAAATTTTAAAAGTTAAGACCTAATATAATTTCAAAAGCAAATATTATTTCAGAAAGTCTCAGGGGGTAAACTCTGGTTTTTGAGAAAGTTGAGACAATTTTTCTTTTACTTCCTAGTAATTTGATTAAATTTCTTAAAACCTCATTGTGCCCGTTCGGTGAAAGTTTTTTTTTTTTTTTTTAGCATCTCTCAAGTATATTCTCCTTTTTGAGAATGATAGATTTGTTCATCAAATTGTCCACAGATCCCTGCACAAGAGAGAGAGACTTTGAAGGTTTTAAAATATTTGTTTGTTTGTAATTCTGTTGAGGACCAGAAAGGGCAGGAGGACTGCAGAGAACCAGAAAGCAAATCTGTGACTCGGCTGTGTTAGGCCTTTGCGCCCCTGTTGCCACATGGCTTCCTTCTTTTCCTTATCCTGTCATCGCTTTCAGAGGATGCTCAGGGAATCTCATAGCCTCATGAACTTAAACCTAGAAGGGACTCTGGAGATAATCTAGCCTAAGATTTTAATTTTATATATAGGGAGGCAAAGCCCAGTGGGGTTAAAGAGATTAGACTAAATTCACACAGCTGCTTTGGGACAGAGTTGGATTAGGCGCCAGAGTCCTGATTCCCACTCCAACAGTTTTTCTGTGGGGCTGTATCACTCTTAAGCTACAGAGAAACTATCATGAAAAGGGCGGTGCTTACATCTAGTTTTGATGTTGCAAATGTTTACTAGACATATTCTCCAACACGGTGTGTGGTAATGCCTTTAGTATAAGCCATATCAAGGCTACATCTTTAGCCAACCACAGTCAATGACGGACCGTGTGTTTGAATGAACTGAGAGGTATTCAGAAGCCTGTGGCCCTGACAAGCAGCAGTGGGGCAACACGGAGAGGGTATTTTTGAGGGCTTCCTTGCCACCAAGCTTCCTTTGCCCTTCTCACATTTGTCTAGGTCTTCCATATAGGCACCGTTGGATTGGAGTGTTTTGCTCTCTGCCTCAGGTCCTTTGGAGTTCTTGCTCCCTGTAGTAATTGTTCTAGGGCCTCTCCTTTTTCTCTCCCATTTCTCCAGCATCTACCAGGTGCCCAACACTGCAAGGTGCAAGTCTTGGGAGACAGAGTTTTCAAGTTGGGACTTTCCATTCTGGTCTTGGTGAAAATGACTGGAGTTATCATCTTACAGCTTTCTGCCTCATTTTCTTCCTATTTTAAAATGTACACCATAGTTCTGTTCTTCCTCTTTCAATTTTAGAAAATGATCAAAATGAATGAGAGAATGACTAAAGTTTATAAAGACCACTGAATTCTCTGGAAAAAGATGTTATGTAAATAAGGTTGGAAAATAATCCAGGCAGCTACTCATGGTCTATTTTATACATTTTCCTTCCCCCTCTTTCTTCAAATAGTTATTAAGACACAAAGATCTAAAATATACAGTCATAAAATCATTCAACACTGAGCTAGAAATAACCTGATAGATCTTGAAATCCAACTGTCCATGGTTCAGATTACAAATATGGCTCTTGGGAAAGTTGTTATTTGCTGAGAACTACCCAGTTTCTAAGTCACAGAGTGAGAATTTGAATGAGTATCTTTGGGCTTCAAGTTCAGTGTTGTTTTTACACATGGCCATAAATTCTGCTTTTAAGCAGCTGCTAGTGAAGAAGCTACCTAGGGCACATTTTTGTGAACATTCTCACATTGTATGCTCATTGTATTTACTTGATTTTAACACATTTCTTTTACTCTTTTGGTTCTTTCCCAATCTACAGTCGATGTTGCGAAAAGAAAAGTTGTGGAAACCGAAATGAGACTCCTTCAGATCCTGTCATCATCGACAGGTAAGGGAAAAAAGTGATTAAAAAAAAATCATTTCTAGTTTTTTTCTTTTGTGAATCTCAACTCTGAGTACTGATCACTTGGGCTTTGCTGTAAGGTTAGTTTCATGTTATCTTCAAGGCATGACACTAGTTCAACATGTATTTTCTTGTTCTGGTTGGCCTTTCTTGGAAGAAGTCAGAACCTTCATTTTTGAACACTTGTCTCTAAACGTGTGATGGGATTCTTTTCCAGGTACACTGGCTTCAGCCTAATAAGGAGTGTGTGGATGGTAAAGGATGGTAAAGAGTGCCATCTTGCTGGCAGGGCAGGGCCTCAATCAGTTTCCTAGAAGAGGAGGTGTACCCCAAGTTAAGCGGCAACCCCTTTATCATTCTCAGTGATTGCTGTTGGGCTTAAAGACTTCCAATTTAGATTACGGTTTAGGGGATTATGACAAGCTCTCTACTGCACTGAGGGAGATTCCCTTCTACCACAGAGGATTGCATTCGGGGTTCTATGTTATATTCAGAATGGGAAATATTCTTTGGGACGAGATGCTAATTCACTGAAATGTGACTTCAGCATCCTCAGCTGTCTGTTTTTATGATTGGAAACAGAACTTATAAACCAACGAAGAAATACCAAATTAACTTCCAGCAATCATGTAATTTTTAAGAAATCCCATATTCCCACCCCTAATTTTTTCTCTTTCGTTAAAAAACGGAATAATTCCCTATTGCTTCTTTCTTTGGGTTTTCATGTTTCTAGCCAGGTCCTGAAATGGATTGGAGAGACCACAGTCTCCAAAGTTGTTATTCCAATATTCCAATGAATTCTCAGTTGGGAGAATGGAACCTCTGGCATTCTTCCCAGAAAGCCAGCTTGGTTTCTTTGTAGAAAGTGTAGCATAGCCCTAGGAAGGAGGAGGCTGGAATTCTGATTCTGTCCTAGCTTCTGACCTTGGACGAAGCACTCAGCATCTCTGCACTTCAATAGGATAATGGAGGGGAGATGTGGAGGGTACTGCCTGCTTCTGTAGGTTTCAGGAGGCTACTGAAATAGCCATGGCAGTTCTGCAGCATTCTCTGAGATCCTTAGAAGAGGATGACAGCCAAACAGGAAACGTTGGTTGGGTGTGTGTGATGACTTTGCCATCGTAGGAGGTTCAGGTGAGACCAATTTGAGGGAACTCTATGGAATTTCTTTTCTTTTTTTTTTCTGAAAGTGCATAGAAGCTTAAAATGAAAGGGTTATAAGAACTCTTTGGGGTCAGCCCTCATCCTTATTTGACGGATGAAGAGACCGAACCTGGGAAGAGTGACATGAGTTGCCCATGTTTACACAGCTGGCTGGAGCAGAGCTGGCACTCACTAGAAAACAGTTGTCCTTACTTCTGGGCCTGGGCTCCTCTGACTGCCACAACTGCCTTCTCCCAGCGCTCTCTGTCCTAACTTATGTGAGTTGGGTTGCTGATCGCACGTGACCTTGTTTCCCAACTTCCCAGGATGCCCTCAGGATCCTCGTGGGGAATAATAATAATTGAAGGATATGAGAGCAGCCTAGACACCCATCCATTCCTTTTCAGGCGTGTGCAGTGAGCTTACTAATCTTCATCTAGTCTTTTTCACTAACTTTCGCTGCCCTTCCAAGAAGGCACTCTAACCTCATGATTGTTCCATCTTTTCTTGTAATAAACACCCCATAAACCAGCTTTAGAAATGTTTGCAAACCTGTAAATGGCAACGGGCACCTTATGTCTCATAAGCGCATGTCCTATTGACTCTGCCCTCATCAGCCGTTTTTACTGTAAGAGGCTACATAGAACCTGCTCCCACAGATAAAGCTGAACACATTATGTTTTCTCCCTATGAATACGCATGTTACACGTACAAAAGAAAGTAATCTTTTTCGCATCGATGAAAGGATTTTCATATTTCCTTCATTGTTTGTGCCAGAATGCCTAAATACTTCCGAGAAGGCGGAAACTGTATCTTGGCTGCATAGTATGGAGCTCTGTGTGACGGTGACATTTATTTTCACTATCCTATCACAATAAAACAGCCCAGTGATGTCTCTGCATCACTTGAAATATGTGTTACGAAATGTTGCGCGTCTCTACACACATACCAAAGGGTACTGTAAATTGATCAGCATCAGGTTTTTAGAGAATCCATTTAATTATAAACAGATGTATTTGTTCAGCTTATTCATCGTAGGACTTTTGTTTAAGATATTGTTCTCTTACCAGAATCTTGTCTTATTGCTCCTGGATGTCTTTTGGGCTTACCTTAGCCTTTTCCCCTTCATATGTGAAAGTGAAAGGGGATGAAGTCTGGTTTCCATTTGTGGGAGGTAGGATGGGTGGTTTGTATCATCAGGGGTTTGGTTGAGCTGTGCATCTGGTCCCTAGGTTCAACGCCTGATGACTTGGAGATGTTGAGATCACCCAGGAGCACCAAAAGGGTGCAAAGTAGTCTATTTTGGATTTCCTCTGAGTAAATATAGAACTCTCTTCTTTGCCCTTGTTCCTATAATGCCGACTAATTATCTCCTCCCCCTTCTTGCTCAGTCTAACCAGATGCAGTTAATTTACACTGTCTCTCTCTGAGTTTTCTCTCACAACAGGCACGCTCCACTCTGACTCCAGGGAACCCTGTTTATTCCCTTGGAATTGAGCATGTTCAGGGGAGGAGGAGAGGAGGCACAAGCGTGGTTCCCAAACTTTTCACCACCAAAGACCCCTTTTATTTTTTCCTTGGTGAGCCCAGGGTTTTGCAAGATTTTGCCTGCCAAACTGCAGTTAGCAAGTAATAAGTCAGCTGTAATTCCATTTTTATGAATCAAAGACACATACCAGAATGGGAAGGAAAAATCTCATCCCCGATATTCCCTTGATCTCATCAATGGCCAATCAGAGTTTTTGATCCGGATGAGACATGATATGTCATGTTACCACACTGACACGATAGACTTTCAGCTCAAACACAAAACAAATTGACCTTTCACTTAGCCCATGTGACCACATCCTGGACAGATATTCAGTTTCTAAAAGGCTGCTTGAAGTATAAAAAATAGCTTTTGCTACCTTGTGGCCCCTTAATTGAATATCATTGGATTTACAATAGGGAGGCCCCCACAGAGA